TCTTCTGACTGTTTAATTCTGTCATATGTAGTATTCCAGAATAGTTAACATAGACCTTCACTTTCCTTTTGTTTTCTAAAACCCACTGTACATATGCCTTTCTCACTGGTGAACCGCCTGCCAGCACAGAGTTGACTTCACGTGGTTCTCTCTTCTGGTCGGTAGTCACTGTGCCCACCCTCACCACCAGCCTCCCAGCCTCCCATTTACCTCTCTGTGAGCATTACTGCATGCCCTTCCTCGTCTACTCTGAGTTCCTCTGGAGTGTTCCTGGAGCTGCCCTGAGGGGAAGCACTGACTCCTTTAATCCTCACATAAGCCCTGTGAGGTGGGTCATCACGAGGTGACTTGTATTTCCATTTTAGGTCATGGTTTTCATCTGCACTGTTGCAAACACTGGAGCAGTCCTTTTTCTTATCCATTTCTTTCAACACTCAGCCCAGGTCCCTGCCCTCAGTAGGTTACTCAATAAATATTTTGTTTGCTGGGTAAGTGAATGTGAGAATGAGCCAATGAATGAAAGAGATGGTTAGTACCTGGCAGACTGTTTCCATAAACAGCCAAACGCTGTCTTTCAAAGCACTCATTTTGTAGCTCTTGAAGACCTGTGGTATTAAACCCTAATTCAGGAGCTTCTTAGAGGTAGAGGGAGTGGGTCTTTGAAGGTGGTTACACTGGCCTCTCCCTGTGTTGGTTTCCAGCACTGAACAGGGTAGCACGTCCTCTTGCCAAGTAGGAAAGTTCAGAAGACAGCTCATGGGAACATGGTCTCTAGGTGGCTGCCCAGTCACTCACCTTTGGCCGTGATATGTACCCATTCCTGCGAGAAAACGGAGGCTGGCACTGGGGGCGCCAGCCGCAGGAGCAGGTGTGGGGCAAGTGTGTGCACATGTGTGTTCTTGTAAGAGTTTGTGGGTTGGGCTAAAGCTGTAGTCAAGATCAAGCCACGCAGGCACAGTGCCCGTCACTTCACTTTTTTAGAAGAGCGTAAGTTTCACCCGAAGCCATTTGCTATCTTGAGAACTTGTGATTTATTGTCAAGTGTTTCGACAATCAGGATGAATCACCTACTTGCAATTAATTAATTGTTTCATGTAGGAGTAGAGAGGGCTTAGGTCCGTCCACAATATTTTGATTTTAACAAGATGGAAAATACTTTTTTTTTCCCCACCAAAAGTTTTGGTCTTCTTAAGCAGAAGCAATAGATAGTTATGAAATATCTATAATTTTGTAGGCCATGGTTATTTGGTAGATTAAGGTTGAACACTTTGAGTCTTTATTTTCTGTGTTGACTGACTGCATTTAGTGTAAATGATCCTCGTGCTACTTGGTCATCACAGACCTAGTTAGGAGGAAAAATTTGTTACAAAGTGAAGTGAGTTTTTAGACTGTTTGGTTCTGAATTAGCCCAAACTGATGGCCTCCCCTTACATTTATTGTTTTAAGCTCCCAGGCGTCTGCTGTGTCACGCCTCTAACTCCCAAGGTCATGCCTCCAGGCATTCTTTCCTTCCTGATTAGTCTCCTCTTTTCTTTCCGGTCTCTTGACACTCATGTCCTTGGTTCTTGGGTTGGGATATCGCCCTCCAGAGGAAAAGTCCTGCAGAAAAAGACTGAAATAAAGAGGCCAGAATCGTCTTTCTTTTCCAAAATGAACTTTGGCACTCACTCAAATTACACTCAGCTCACGAAAACTAGACACGAGTTGTGTGCAAGGCTTAGGTTTTCTCCTCAAAGAATTGATGCTGTAGTTAAGATTGTAGACTACGTCAGCCTCTTGAGCACATGTAGCCACAGGTGGCACTTCTGCCCGTTGGAAGTTCCGGGTACCTTCTCTAGCTGCTATGAAATTAAGCCAGTGGAAGGCATCCATGCTGGTGAGGTTCAAAGTCAATTACCAGGAAAGAATATAAGAAATCTTATTAATTGTTCTCCTGTTTACACTGTACATAAGAAAATAAATAATTCAGCTGCCTTATTTTGCCCTTCCGCTCAAAGAGAGCTGTCCTAACGAACTTGGACCCCTGGTTCTCTCTGCGTGGTTACTCATTAAATCCTTGTGTCTTATGACCTCTCTTGACTGGAGACTCTAAAAGGGTTGCAGCCCAGTCGCCCGGCCCAAGTACCTTCCCTGGGATAGCTCACATCCGGCCTGGCTGTGTCACACTTGCCACTCCGGTTTCAGCAGAAGGCTACACTTTAAACTTAAACTTTTCATATTAAAGCGTAAGTTGAACGTTGCTTAACTTGGTCACCGGTTTGGTCACACATCCGTGTGTCTGTCCTTTGGAGTACTAGCACTGCTGTGTTACTAATACAGGTTGGTCACTAGGGGCTCCCCAGAGGAAAATTCAAGTTAGGAGCAAATTCGGAGCAGTTATTGATTTAACAGTCCTCCAAATGCTTTTGTACATAGAAGGAGCATAAAAAAAGAGTCCCAGCGATAAGCAGGCCAAACACACTGGTTGATAATAGTAGCTAATGTTACTGACTTTTTGCCATGTGCCAGGCACTGCTGTGAAGGCCACACGTGTGCTAATCATTTAATCCTCAAGTCAGCCCTGTGGGGTGAGTCCTGTTCTCAGTGGGATGCAGAGCCATGAAGAGTCTCACCCCGTCACATGTATCGAAGGGATGGAACCTGAAGCCCTGGGCTCCCCCGCCCTCGGAAGCCACGCGCCCTCACCCGTCACACCTGCCTGCCACGAAGCCTTCCCGCTGCCCCACACTTTGGGGAGCAGGTTTCTGCCCATTGTCTCCCACCTCCCTTGTCCCCTGACTCCCTCCGCACCCACTTGTGGCCAGTGTTCCCAGGGCTCCCCGGTTTCTCCTCAGCCCCCTGCCTGCTTCTTCCACCTTCTCCCCATGGCCCCAGCGTGAAGGTTCCTGGAGTCGTTCCGCCCAGTCCTGGGCATGGACTCCAGCCCCTCTGTGACCACCCCTCTCCCCCACATGTTCTCTGTTCTAGCCACGCGACACTCACCTCCATCCCCAACTCTGCCCACCAAACACTCCCTTTCTGGAGGCCACTTCCCCAGTTTTTCTGTCGACACCCACAGCCTGACCACGGCTGCCCCAGCCCCTGGTCCTGGCAGCTCTCACGGGACTGGCCTCTATCGTCTTCCTCAGCGTGGAGGAGACATCACCCAGGAGGCCTCCCTGAACCACTGAGTCTTTGCAAGGTGCACCCCGTCCCGTGCCTTCTGGGCCTGGACCTGCTGCCGAGGTCCCCCTGCAGGAGCTGCCTGTATGGGGAGGGCTGTGGCCACTGGGTTCACACTTGTGCCCCCAGCATGATCACAGTGCATCGTAAACAGAGGCTCCTGATACATGTTTGCTCGGTGAGTGGCAGCTCAGTAGCCACAATTCAGAGTGAGAACAACAACAAGCCTCAGGGGTGTCCCCCCGACGGCAGGCATCAGAGCTCGTGCTGTGGAGCTGGCGCCAGGCCCTGCATCCCCAGGCAGAGATATTCTAGTTAACGTCCCTCTCTAGTTTATGTGCAGTCAGGACTGTGACTAATCGTATACATATTTGGGATGTATATTTTTTTTGGAAAAAAATATGTGGAAGTTCAGGACCTCAGGTTAAGAGTGAGCATTTGACACTCTCCTTGGAGTCAGTCAGCATCTAAAATTATTTATCTCAATCTTTGGATTCCCACCTCTGAGTTGGCTGCACTCCTGGGTGTCTTTAGGTGTCCTCGGCGTCCTTGACAGATTCTCAGAATAGTTGACTTAAAAACATACATGAAAAAAAAAGTACACCATACAGTATTTTACAAGGAGAGCGGGAGAGAAAGAAAGATGCAGTGACAAGATGGTTTAACTATACAATGATTAAGGATTATTGGGGAATTAGTCCCAGGGTCATTTGATTAATTTTAGAGTATTTATTAAATATGAATTGATTGCGAGAAACTTTGGATTCAGAAGTGTAGACACTGGCCACCTCTTGATTGAGTCTCTCCATGATGGCTTTTCTTTACCGCCTTCTGCTGCAGCTTAAACTCTTTAAGATGGAAACCCTGCTTTGTTCTGATTTTATTCTCTGTGTACAGCATACACCAGGCCTAAAATAAATATTTATTGAATAAATCACATTGTCACTCCCTTTCATAAATTCACAGTCTGGGTCAAATTCCAGTAAAGACTAACAATGGATTTCTTTCAGTCAGGCTTGCTTCTTTTTCAGAAAGCCCTTGGGTTCCATCTGGAAAAGCTGTTCCTTGTTACCTTCCCAGCAGATAGTCCTGCACACCCAGAGCAGGGCCCACCACCCGTCACAGTGGCTTCCCGGGGGAGTGTATACTGCTACTGCAGCCTTTAGTGGGCATTGTAAAGTTGTAGGCTAAGTGTCCACTTAACCAGCTTTTTTCATTTGTTTTAAATGGGGATTTGGTGAGAGAATAAAATTCACATAGATGGCAGCTTGACATATGCTGATGTTCTTGCCATGAATGTCTGGATCCCATAGAAACTTGATGAATGAATCGAGGGAGGGCTGAGTTCCCTGATGGTGCACATCCTGGTCTCCCCCTTCAGGGTGGTTGGCAGTCCCTGATGTAGGTAACACAGTCTGTAATGACCCTCATGTCTATAGTGGCCAGTATGAAGATCAACAACCGGTCTCTCCAGATAGAAACAAACCCCAGAATTGTAGAGGGTCCACCATTAGTGGGCTCTGCCTCTGGCAGAAAGAGGCCATGAGACCCTTCCAAAGAGGGACTTTTAACCCCCATTTCAGCCCCAGAATGTGACACAAGCTGCCGCTACTCAGAGGAAACACAGCTGGAAGACACGGTGTGTCCTAGAGGCTGGTGTTCTCCGTGAGGCTGTGCGTCTTTGGGAAGCTCACGGGTGCAGTAGTGAAAATATGACCTTTTCTCATTTTCACTTTACTCTCAACTTTGCAGGAGAGTGTCCCGCGCAGAGAACAGGACGGAGCTGTGCTTTGACCACCGCTGGTGTCACCTGTGCTGACTGTAATTTTTATCCATAGGTTTGAAGACTTACCTGATAGCGGGTCAGAGAGCGAAGGAGTCTCACTGCAGCTGTTCAGAGGCCTTACTTTCTGGCTTTGAGGTCCTTGACGGCTCGCGGGTGTCCTCAGGCCCTAGGGGACAGGGGACAGCGTCGCCAGGGAGTGTCAGTGACTTGGCGCAGACTGTCAAAACCTTTGATAACCTTAAGGTTAGTTTTTTTTTTTCCTACTTCTAAAACATGATATTTAATTCTGCAGTAGAACATGTGAAATAATAAGCAGCCTTCAGGCCTGTGGCAGAGACTTGGAATGCCCTTTTATTTTTTTTTTTAAACATTTTAAAATTTAGTATAAGGTTAGCAGCATTTTGCATTTTTAATATCTTTGCTTTTATGATATTCTATGCACCACCATTTTCTTTTTACACATATACTTGCTTTAACTTGAGTTACTGTTTTCTTTCTCTATGAACTACGATGTCTTGGGGGCATTTCTGAAAGCTCACGAAACATGATAATAGTCAAGGTGATTCTCTCAGCGTCTTGCTTTGAGACCTAGTTCATATCTTATTTCAGAGACCACTTTCTCAAGTACTCATACGTCTCCTGAAATCCAGTGTTTTATATAATTATTTTAAGTTTTGTTGGTGTGGATAAAGCCCGTGCTGTATACCTCATTGGAAGAGTGCAGGCTCGCCAGGAACATTCTAGAAGTTCATCAGTGGGACAGAGATCGTCTGGTGGTTGCATGGCTGCACCCATTCCTGTCCTAACAAACCACCAAGGAATTAACACAATGGGCCCCGAGCCTGCAAAAGCACTCTAATATGTGAGTCGTTCCTCCGGTTGATGTAGTTCCCCCACTGTACTGATACCTTTTGTTTATTTTTACAGTTTACATATTTGCCGTTTCTTTTTTTTTTTTTAAAGAGACAGTTAAAACCTTTTCACTTCACTGTTTTGTGCTCTCGAATAACACTGTGACGTGTGGTCAGGATGATGGCCTGCTGATGTGGCTGTGACCCAGCACGTTCCCGCGTGTCCTCGTCCATTAACACAGTTGAAGGCTAGCGGTCTTGGTGTTTCATGGTATGACACTTGGCTGCAGCCTTCAGCTTATTTCACTGTGTTGGACTCCGTGGTGCCTCTCCTCCAGGTGCCGTGTGTGGTTCCCGTGCTCAGGTTTGTGGACCACACACGCATCATTTCCATCACGTGCTTTGTTTCCTCGGGGCAGGGTTCCTCAGTCTCGACACCACTGGTGTCAGCTTCAGCCTCGACTCCATCGACACTCTGCGTGGAGAACTCTTGTGATGGGGGCATCCTGTGCACTGTGTGATGCTAAGCAGCCTCCCTGGCCTCCCCCGGCTAGAAGCCAGGAGCACCCCCTCCTCCCGGGGTGGCAGCCCCGGTCTGCCCTGTCTGCAGACCTAGCGCCGCGGCCCCTCGGGAGGGAGAGGTAGTCACCCCTGCTGAGGAGAGGGTGTTAGCCCCTCCTCCCGCACGCGCTCTGGCGGGTGTGCCACGGTGGGTGTGGCGGAGAGCTCTGCAGTGCCTGCACACTTGGAGCCAGCTCCTTTGCCTGGGCTGCTGTCTCACAGGAGTCAGAGAGAGGAACCCCCTCCCACCCCACCGCGCCGCTCAGCGGCCCTCACCGGGCACAGGCCAGGCCGGCAAGAGCAGGGAGGGAACAAAGGCGTGGTTTCCAAGTCCGGCCTTCTTACCGGAGGAGCAAGTGTTTCCTCAGGCTTCCAACCGGACTGTAGTCAAGTAGAGAAGCAGCTCAAGCCAGAAGTAAGCGCTTCATTGCATCTGTGTGCCACTTGAGATGATGTATGTGCGTGTGTTTGTGAGGGCGGGGCCCTTGTGGACCTCACCGTGCCACACGCCTGCAGCATTAGCGACAGCAGTTTTGCACTCAGTTGCCTTACGAAGGTGCTCTGTCCTCCCGACAACATTTCTTATTCTGGCTATAAATCTACTTATATACTTACGTATTTTGGGTCTGGTTAGGCAAAAGCAGTTTAGCATTCTCTGTCGCCATGTGTATGTTTTCCAGATAGTCTTGTGATCCCTGAAGGATCTCTGTGCCCCTTCCCGGAGGGGACGATGAGAGCATATGAAGTATACTCTCAAATTAATTTTGGGAGGATAACAGGACATCCCCATCCTGAGACGAGGACACCCTGAAGATGGCGTTCCTAGATTCATGGAGTGGAAGGAGCAAGAGGAGACAGGAGGCCTGGTCTCCATGCCAGGGTTTGCCACTCAGGGTCCCTTCTCATAGCCCTGCTCTGGGCCCTGGTTCCTGGGCGTCGGCTGGGCTAGGGCATGCGACTGAGGGTCATATGCTCCTGGGACCTGAGTGAGTCGCTGTGAACTGTCATCCTGGACTCAAAAAGCAGAACACTGGGGTCTGCTGTAAAGAGTACGTAGATTACAATCTGACGGGCAAGGCCTCCCCTCCGGCAGGAGTCTCTGAACAGTGCACAAGTGCACGAGCACTCACTGGCCCCGGGTCTCTGGGAGGATTCCTCCTGTGAGCGGGCAACGCCTCACGTGGGCCCCTGGCCTGCCGCCTGTGTCATCCACACTACCGTGAGCCTTTCTAATTTGCTGGGTCACAGACAAGTTCCTCCCCATCCTTTCCCAGGATCTGCAGACTCTCTCTGTCCACAGTCTTCTTTCCCTTGGATGCTGCTGCCACCCTGGCCATCAAGAGTTGGCTCTCGTGGGCATTTCTATCTCCCTATATCCCCCTAACCCCTGCCCAGCACGGGAAACCCTGCCCAGCTGAGGGGGCCTGTCATAGAGAGGGTTTCCCCAAGTAGGTTCCCTTGAGCAGTAGTTTCTCAGGATAGCATAGGTGTCAAGTATGAAAAAAGTGTTCTGCAGTCAAGTCAGTGTGGGTTAAGGGACACTGAAAACGTCTCTTTGCGGAGTTAGTCATCGTGTTGTGGCATTTCTTAATTGTGATTTCAGGAGTCAGGATGGCTCTGGTTCATGATTCTCTGGCCTGGGGTCCCAGGTGTCCCATGGCTGGGGGTCTGTGGCTCATCTAACCCTGGAAAAAGCAACCTGATGGTGACGCCGACAGCAGCAATTCAACACACTAATGATGCTGTCGGCGACACCATCTTAGTCTCCTGACGCTGGCCAAGGCGTGTTCAGTTAGCCCAGCGTTGAGGTCAGAGAGCACAGGAAAGGGAATAAGGTTTTTGATAGAGAGATTGATCATAAACTCAGCAGGGGAACACGGTGTTAGAGTGACTCAGCTGCAGTTTCAAAAAAGAACCAAGGACTTAGAGGAAAGGGGTTCCATAAACTCTTGGGGAGTGAATCCACGCGTCTGGTCCTGTCACGCCTCTCGCTTGTGACGCGCTTGCTTCCTTGTCCCCACAGACTCCCCTCTTCCTGTTGCCCTTCCCCTTAGTTTCCTGTGATTCCTCCAGCTCGTAATGCCGCCTCTCTGTCTCTGAAGTCTAGCTCAGTTAGTCTGTACCGCCTGGTTATAACACACGCAGCCTGAAATATTTGCTTTCATTTCTTTTGCACCTTTCTGTGAGCTCTTTGCATGCAGGGCCCATGTGTTACATAACTTCAGTTTCTCCTGAGTGCCTAGCACAGTGCCTGGCATGAAGTAGATAAATACAACTTCCTTTTGGCTTTTTTAAATTTTTTAATGATGCACAGAGACCTGTAACTCTGCAGAGCTAGACTGAGGGCTGCACTGGTAGCCTGGGCAGAACTGAACAGAGCCAAGGTGAATGCCTGCAAAGCTCTTGTTTTCTGCTCCTGTCACTCGTACCTCATGTGTCTGTAAGTTATCACCCAGTTCACAGCTGGAGAATTGCCACCTGATATTTCATAAGATAGTCTGAGTACGGTGATGACCTGCTAAGAAACAATAGTGATGTCAGAGGTCAAGGGCTTTGGCCCTGAGGTTTTAGGTCAGAGGGAACCCTTCACACCCAGGTCTTGGCTTCTTGAGTGACTGGCTGTGAGTGATGCTGCTCAGGAAGGTCCTGGCATCACATATTGTGGGGAAGGGGTCCCCTAGAGCGCTGGCACTCACCCACTGAGCCCCATGAGCTGTGAGAGCATCTTACGTCGCCTCTGAAAGGCCTCCCCAGGAGGCAGCTGCTCGGCTGGTCTTCGTGCATTTGCCTCAGTCCCTTATTCAGAACCCAGGGCATGTGCTCAGGGCCTTTCTCCCTGTTTGCAGTTGGTAATGAGGCTAGTGGTGTGGATTTGCCCATGTAGGGGTGATATTCATAGAGGACCTGTTCCAGCTCATATGGGTTATATTATACTTATATGACTCTTGTGGTAAAGAATCTGTCTGCCTATGCAGGAGAGGCAAGAGATGCGGGTTCAATCCCTGGGTCAGGAAGATCCCCTGGAGGAGAGCATGGCAACCCAGTCAAGTATTCTTGCCTGGAGAATCCCATGGACAGGGGAGCCTGGCAGGCTATAGTCCATAGAGTTGCACAGTTGGACATGACTGAAGCGACTTAGCTTGCACATGCACACCTGGGACCACCCTGCTGTTTCAGTTGCTGTGGCTTTTTAAATGACTCTAAGAAAATGATCTCCTCTTTTATCTCCTTGTTACTTATATGTGAAATCATTATGAATCATTATGTAAAGACTTTTATTTCATTGTATCAATAGATGGAAAAAGTAATAGACTTTTCTCTTTCTCTATCTGTGTGTGTAGTTTGTGCATGAGTGCTCAGTCATTTCTGACTCTGCAACCCCATGGGCTATAGCCCTCCAGGCTCCTCATAAATCCCATAGATATATGGGATTTTCCAGGCAAGAATACTGGAGTGGGTGCCATTTCCTCCTCCAGCGGATCTTCCTGACCCAGGGATCGAACCTATGTCAGTTTAGACATTAAGTATTTATTGTAAATAGTTGTCTGAGTTAATTGGTGGTGATGGTTGCACAATTCTGTGACTATACAAAAGACTATTGAATTATATACTTTAGATGGTGAGTTGGGTAGATACAATGTAAACTGTACCTCCATGAAGCTGCTGTGCAAATAAGTAAATAGTAATCTGAATGCTGGCTCTGAAATGTGGATGCAAAGTAAGTATGTTTGTTTTTTTTAAAAAAGGACTTCTCAAGTTGCGTCTATAGTTTTAGTCGTGTGCATGTTTCCTTCAATTAGGAGGAAGCACATCAAGTATAAATTGATAGCTCTTCCTTGTAGAAGAACTCCAGCTAATAGATTATAAAAAGAATGAGAGAAAGAAAATCAGCTTTAGAGCATCACAGTAATAATTGCTTCAGGCAAGATCCATTGGTGAGTTCTAACAGAAGTGGATAAAAGTTTAAGGACAAACAGGACATTTGCATAGCCTCCAAGCATCTCCCCTCAGGTAGTTATTCATTTTAAAGGGAAGGATATTGAGGGAGTTCCCTGGTGACCTAGTGGTGATGGCTCTGCACTTTCACTGCCCTGGCCCAGGTTCAGTCCCCGGTCAGGGAACTGAGATCACCCAAGCTGTGCAGCTCAGCCAATATATGAACAAATAAAGGGAAGGAGAGAAACTTGGCAATGGAAAACCTAGCAGAGCCCACCTTCAATGATGGTTAGCATCACGATGAATGAAACCCAACTGTGTTGTGTACCCCCACCACCGCATGTTGTGCAGAGAAGAGGGCATCCCCTCTGTGGGATTCTTCCCTCAAACCCTGAACTTCCATCAGCTTCTGAGAAAACATTAGATAAATCCAAGTTCAAGGGCCAGGACTCTTAAAAAGTGTCCGAGACTGGAGGAGACTAAGTGTGCATGGGATCCTGGAACAGGAAAAGAACATCTGAATGAAAACTGCATCAGGGACTTCCCTGGTGGCCCAGTGGTTAGGACTCCACAGCTGGGGCCACAGGTTCGATCTGTGGTTGGGGAACAAATATCCCCACGTGCCATGGCCAAAATGAATAAATAAATAAAGTGAAATATATGCAGTGAAAGAAAATCTGTTGCAAATAGTGGAATGAATCTTGACAAATCAGTATATATTTTTTTTCAAATCTGCAGTGTGGTTAATAGTATGGTGCCAGTGTTAAGCTGTTAGTTTTGGTAACTGGACCAAAGTTCATGTAAGATACTAACTTTCAGTGAAGCTGGGGTTTTCGTATGGGACTCCCTGAATTGTCTTTCCCACTCTATTTAAGTCTAAAAGTGTTTCAAAGTAAAACATTAAGTATACACATATAAAATATTATGTTTGTATTGTTTTGTTATAAATATAGTTATTATTGTTATATACTACACTACACATGAATTGAAATTGGAAGGTTAGTCCAGCTCATTTAATTGGCATCATCAGGTAGTAGAGTAGCACATGTAGGGGATTTCCCCAAATACCAAATATTTTCTTACTTTGACTTTCTGATGGAACTTTATCACAGCACAATGACACTCTTCTTGCCTTATCAGCCTCGGTTATTAAACTCAGTGGTCGTTTAGGGCTCAGAAATCTGAGGAGCTTTCCGGGGTTCTGCACTCCATGACTCGGAGGTTTTGTGCCTGGTTCTTACAGATATGTGTTTCATTTGTTTGTTACTTTGCCTCCAGTATTTGCAGGCTCTCCACTTGCTGTTCTTACCGCTTCTGGATGCCTTTCATTTTCTGTAATAATTACTGCTTCTGTCTTCCTCTAATATTCGGCTTTTACTTTTCTCTAGGATTTTGTTAACAGCAGTCATCCATTTGGGAGTGTGCATGCCTGTGCCGACCCGCTAGCTTGGGGAGGGTGCCTGGCCCTCCTGTGGCAGGTTGCAGCAGGTGGCCCCTGTTCACCCAGAGATGTCGCATGTGTGGATGGGGTCTGCACCTGTGACCCTGGGCCCTCAGGTGGGAAATGGGCCGATCACAGTGTTACCCAGGTGCTCGTGGGGACTCAGCACAGACCCCTGTGGGGCATTCGTGCTCTTGCTGCATGTGTGCTCCTGTCTGCCACATTCTACCTGCGTCTCGAATTTCGGAGGCAAGGGACACTTCTCCTGGTCCTAGGAGGCTTGCTGAGACTGAGCAGGCAAAGCAGGACTTTCCTCATGTTTCCTCCTTGATTCTCAGAAGAGAGGTCTCCCTGTCCCCCTCCCTGACCCCTAACAGCTGTTGGCTTAGAGCTGGTTTTATCTTGTGAAGAGAAGTAGCCTTCTCTTCTGAAGAAAAAATTATCTTATAGCTCCGTGCCATACATTCTAAAGAGAATATAAGGTGTGTGTGTGTTGAAATGTGAAATGTGTTAAAAACAAATACAGAGGCACCTGTATTAGAGTGCATTAGAGAAATAGTTACAACCTTCCCTCCAGAGCTTTCGTCCCGATGGGGGCGGCTGTGGGGTAATCTGGGAAGATGCAGAGCTTGCTTCTGGCTGTCTCCAGGGGAGCTTGGGTTTCCTGGGCAACAGCCAGCATACGCCTTGGTGAGAACAGTCCCTTGTCCCCGGGACCTTAGCTGGTCTTGGTGAAGCTTCCCTTGGTGCCACTTAAAGGAGCCAGGAGATGACTGTAACTGCTTGGGTCACTTCAGGAGAACGAGGCAGAGGCGATCAAAGTGCCAGGATTATTCTTGGGTCCTCTTTGTGCCAGGAAAGGAGGCAGAGAGAGGCTGCTTTGTGGTGGTCAGGGGTCAGGAGCCCCGCTGTCTGACCCCCACTGTGGCCAGTCACTTCTGCCTTGCAGCAATGACAGGAGGATTATTAACAGAGATCAGGCACATGAGACCATGGGTGTTGCATGGATAAGGACCTGACAGGGTGCATTGGCATGTCCTAGGCACGGAGGCGTCTCCATGTCATGGCAGCTGCTGTCATTAGAACAGTGGCTTTGACCCACTGCGCCTTCAGAGAGGCTGCCCTGCATGTCAGCTGTTCAATTCAGGCGTGCCCCCAAAGCCCCCAGCGAGGGCTTCCTGGGGTCAGAGATGCTGACAGCTGCTCAAGAGGAGAGACAGGCCTTTAATGATCTAGCAAACATTTCACAGGGGGTATTTGTGTGCTTGACAAAACCCAGTATGTAGGGTGTTTTAATCCAATTAAAACAAAGCTGGCAAATAGTTCAAGCTGCTGTGTGTCTAGGGGGCAGGGGATCAAACCCACCCACTGTTACTTGGTGAGACCCTCATGGAGCACAAGGGGCTCCCCCCAGAGATCAAGGGAATGTCAAGATACGAGAACATATCCATCAGGGCAGACATATTTCTCTAAGGTTTCTGTTTCATTTGTTTTAATCTTAGAATCAATACAATTTCCCCCAGAAAAGAAAAGAAAAGGGATTTGAACCCTGGTTTGTGAGAAATTTGAAAGCTCTGCCCTTTCTATTTGGTTGGCTAAAAAGTTCATTTGGGTTTTTCTGCACAATGGTATGAAAATCCAAGCAAACCTTTTGGCCAACACAATATTATCCAGGTTAGTACTTGTTTAAAAATTGAAGTATGGTTTTTGTACAATATGATATAAGTTGTGCATGCTAAGTCTCATCAGCCGTGTCCGACTCTGTGTGACCCTATGGACTGCAGCCTGTCAGTCTCCTCTGTCCTTGGGATTCATCAGGCAAGAATTATAGGTGTACAGTATAGCAGTTGACATTTTTAAAGGTTATCTTCTCTTTGTAGTTATTGTAACTACAGGCTATATTCCCTGTGTGGTATCAATACTATATCCGGCAGTGTTGGGTCTTTTCGAGGTCAACTAATTCCTGCAAACGTGTGAGAAGGGCTAGGTCTGTTATCTCATCCCTCTGCTTTGCAAGAACAGCCCACCTTCCCAGGGAGCTTGAGAACCTTCACTTAGGGTTCGAATATGGGTTAGCGGCTAGTTTAACAAGAGCTTTATTAAGATATGATTGATATACAATAAAATTCACCCTTGTAGAGCATCTAATTCAGTGGTACAGCCATCGTTACGGTCAATTTTAGAACATCTTCATTCCCCTGAAAAGAAATCCCACACCCATTCCAGTCACCCTGCATCCCTTAACGCCTCTCATTCCTGTAAACCACTAGTCTCCCTTCTGTCTCTGTGGAGTCACCTTTTCCGGACATTTTATGTGGATGGAGTCCTATGACACGTGGCCTCTTGCGTCTGGCTGCTTTCACTGAGCGAGTTTTCAAGGTTCATGCATTTTGTTGTGTATATCAGGGCTTTATCCCTTTGGAGAGCTGAATAATGTTTTGTTCTATGGACATCCCCCATTTCATTGATCCACTCACCCATTGATGGATATTTGAGTTGTTTCTGCTGAAGAGTAGCCCCTGTTAGGGTGCATTCACGTACAGGCCTCTGTGTGGATGTGTTTCCATTTTCACGCTGCCTGTTCCTTTGTAACTCATCCTGAGACGTTTGGTAAACTTTCCATTGGGTTATGCCCTTCTTGAGTGACAGTTTGCAACAGCAGCGGGCTCATCTGAGTCACATAGTGAGGTTTGTTGCCGAGTGAGCTCCTACGCTCTGTGCTTTTCTTACAGACCTGCCCATCGTGCGGAATCACATTCACTCCCAAGTCAGAAGCTGGTGCAGAAGGCGGAGCGGTCCAGAACGGCTGTCAGGAGGAGCCCAAGAACAGCGCTAAGGTACCAGCTCTAGGCCCTGGTCCTTTCCAGCGCCTCTCCCGGTGTGCCTACCAGAGGGGACGTCCTGTCGGGTCAGCTTCTCAGTTCCGAGGGTAACTCCTCCTGGGTGACATCACCGCACACCTTCTAGTCCTCTGGGTTTTGGACAGACGGATAAAGAGCAGGATGGATGCTGACCTGGTGGGACTCCCTGACGGCAATGAGACCTGAAGGCGTGTGGCTGAGGGGAGTTAGGGAGGGTCCATGGGGCTGGACTCAGTGGCTGGTGGAAGGTGGATGTTGAGGAGAAGAGGGGCATCCTCAGGGTGAGAAAGAAGAAACTCCAGAGCTTCAGTATGCCCCCACCTCCTTACTGGCCCTCCCTGCGATACCACTGTCCTGGTCCCCTAGAGGAGCGGGGGGAGTGGGGAGAAGCAGACGGTTGCTCGGGTTAGAGCAGAGGCCCAGAGGTGCAGGTTGCGGTGTGTAGGGCACAGTCCAGGGGCCTCTGGTGTGGCTGCATCGGGGGATGGCTCTACTGCGGCCCTCACGCAAGCCTCTGCGTTTGCCCCGCTTGTCCTGATGCAGGCCTCCGGAGGACCCAGCTCCAAAACGCAAAACGGACTTCTGAGCCCTCCCCCGGAGGAGAGGCTCACCAACAGTCAGACCTCTCTGTGCGAGATCTTACAGGAGAAAGGCAGGTGGGCAGGCGTGAGCCTGGATCAGTCGGCGCTCCTTCCGCTGAGGTTCAAGAACATCCGGGAGAAAACGGACGCCCACTTTGTCGATGTTATCAAGGAAGACAGGTAAGATGCAGCCAAGGTTTGCAGGTAGAGCCCCCGCCCCCACTGCTGCTTTTCTGAGCCCCCTTGCCCCCCATGTGTTTGCCCTCCAGTATCAATGTGTCAGTAATTTGAAACTAACAGAGTGGATAATACAGAGGATTCCCTTTATTCCCCTTATACCCAGTTTACCAACGTTTACTGCTTTGCTGTGCTTGTTTCATCCTCTTTTCTCTCCCTGTGAAAGTTACCTGTTTTTTTTTTTTTTTAAACCATTTGCAATACATTGGACACATTGTGCTCTCTACCCCTTAAAACTGTATTTCTTGAGGACAGGGGTGTTCTTGTATATGATCATAGTTACAGGCTGCAGTTCCTGTTCCAGTTTTGTGGGGTGGCCCCCTGCGTCCCCGACAGCATGTCCTCTCCTCTGGTCTGAGACCCAGTCCAGGGTCACGTGCTGTGTTTATGTGGTTGTCAGATCTCTTCCATCTTCAAATCTGGGAGCAGTTCCTCAACCATCCTTCATCTTCCAAGACGTTGACTTTTTGAAGCACGCAGGCCAGGCTCTTACATAAAATCTTCCTGAAGTTGGCTTTGTGTGATGTCCCTTGAGGATTCTGTCTGGACTGTGGGTGTGTCCATACCCAATGGAGGGAACTTGTCTTCTCCAGCCCTAGATCCAGAGGCCCGAGGCGCCTCTGTGATGACCTTCGTCAGGCAGTGAGATTGATCAGCTGGGCGAGTGTCGCCAGCTTCTCCAGTCTGTGCTTGCTGTTTTCTCCCTGTGACTAGTCAGCCACCCGTGGGATCAGGTAGAGATCCCATTCCTTATCACACTTCACTTGACTCGTCTCCACTGATGACCCTTGCCTGTAATAGTCCTCACTGTGCTGGTCAGTATGGCGACTGTCCTGCTTCAGTACTGACAGCACGTTCATCACTTAACATTTGGCATTCTGCAGTGAACAACCTTTCCCCACTTACCACTTAATCTCTCCATGTATGGACATGGAAATCCATGTAGACCTGCATGGAGTCCTGTTTTACTTAACAGGGCATCATTGATCACTGTCCTAATGAGTGTGATGCCCTAGTCATCCTGAATCTGGCCATAGGAAGCCCCCATTCAGGCTGGCCCTTGCGTCCTTTTGACATAGCTCTTTTGTTTGTTTCATTTGTTTTAGCTCATTCATTTCTTACTTTCCAGCACAACAACTCATTTTCTATTTTCCCTGCCCCAGCACAGGCATTATTTATTTCTCCAAATAGCCCTGGCTAGTGAAAAAATGGTACTTAGATACATTAGTTATTAATGTTCGATTGATTGTCTTTGTAGTCAAAGGCATACACTCATTATGTGACTTCATTCCTTTTGCATTCATTAGAACTTGTTCTGTGATTTCTGCCTGTGGTCTGTTTTGGTGAACGTACCATACACACTTAAAAAGAATGAATGCTCTACATTCTCAGGATGTTGCGATCCGTAAACCTCAATTAGATTCAGGTGGTTGGCAGCAGTGTTCAGATCATGTGTCTCTCTACTAAAATTTTGGGCTGTTTTTCTATTGAGATAATTGATAAGATTATTATTATTTCTATCAGTTACTGAGATAATAAATAATCTCCAGCTATGGTTATGGAATTGTCTGTATCTGTCTCACAGAATTGTCTGTGTCTTTGTTTCTTTGTTTCAAGTATTTTGAAGCTCTTTTTTAGGTACACACACGCTTGTGATACATGGTAATACACACTGGTAATTAATCCTTTTATCATTTTGAAGTGTCCGGCTTTGTGCCTAGTAATACTGTCTTGAAGACTGCTTTATCTGATATTAACAGTCACTCTAGTTACTGTTTGCATGCTCTATCATTTTCCATTAAAAAAAATTCTAACCTGGGTCTTTATATTTGAAGTACATCTCCTGTGGGTCTTGCTTTTTAAATCACTCTGACAATATCTGCCTTTTTATTTTAATGTATTTTCTTTTTAGCCATACCTCTTTGCATTATTTTTCTTTTAGTGGTTGCTCTAGGCGGTCTTATATTTTTGTAGTCTTCCTATGGTTAATATTGTATCATTTCACTTTAAATGTAGAAATCGTATATCAGTATAGGTACATTAACTCTCCTCTCATCCTTTATGTTATGGTTTTCACATGTTACATATATATACATTATAAACAACAACTTCCAATTCCAACCTCTTGGTAACCTCAGGTTGGTTTCTTTTTTTGATTGCTTTTTGTTGAGGAGGGACCATGTTTTCCTGTTTCCTTGCTTGTCTAGTAATTTTGGATTATGTTGTGCACATTGTATACAAAACTCTCCATTCTGTTACATTCCTTTGAAGAGTATCAACTTTTTGTTTGTTTCAGCAGCCAGATAACTGATCTGAACTCAAATGCCAAACTCTGTCTCCCCTGAGGTGGGCAGTAGCTGTTCTTTTTGCCTATATTAGGCTGCTTGGAGTCGGCCACACGCATGTGCATTTCAAGGGTCTGCCAGAGATGGGAGCAGAGCCTGTGTGCAGAACGTAGGGCTCCCCTTTCTCTGGTCCTCTCCTGCTGCGATGTCCAATCTCATTTTCCATCTGTGGGCATGCTCAACTCTATCTCCTGGTTTTCCAAATCAGTGAGACTGGAGCTTTTCTTTCTGAGTTTTAGACATTCCTACATGTGGTGCTGACTAATGGCTCTCTGCAGATGAGAAAAACCCCCACAAATTCAACTTCTTCCAAATGTAGCTCCATTTTCTTACTGCCTCAGTCCAATTGCCAGTGCCTTCCAATTGTTTTTATATTTTGTTCAGGGTTTACCTTGAGACTCGGATGGTTAAGAATCTGCCTATAATGTAGGAGACTCAGGTTCGATTCCTGGGTCAAGAAGATCCCCTGGAGAAGGAAATGGCAACCCATTCTTGAATTCTTGCCTGGGAAATCCCACAGACAGGAGCCTAGTGGGCTAGAGTACCTAGGGTTGTCAAGAGTCAGACACGACCGAGTGACTAACACCTTAGGGTGTGTGGTCGCTGTCTGAGAGTGGATTGATCCAACACGAGCTCATCCCTGTTCCCAGAAGCACTGGAATGGCCCAGTATTCATTTCACATGGGCAGCGCAGCTTACAGTGTGGATCCTGCCTCTTGACTCTTTGTGACCCCATGGACTATACAGTCCATGGAATTCTCCAGGCCAGAATACTGGGGTGGGTAGTCATTCCCTTCTCCAGGGGATCTTCCCAACCCGGGGATTGAACCCAGGTCTGTTGCAGTACAGGCAGATTCTTTACCAACTGAGTCACCAGGGGCAGGAGGCCTGGGTTCGATTCCTGGATTGGGAAGATCCCCTAGAGAAGGGAATGACTATCCACTCCAGTATTCTGGCCTAGAGAATTCCATGGACTGTATAGTTCATGGGGTCGCAGAGTCGGACACGACAGAGCAACTTTCACTTTGCCTCTTGACTGCAGAAGTAAAGCCATTACGTTTCCTCCTTGTAGCTGCTTTGTTGCTTTTCCCTCTGTCCACACTTACCAAGTGAAAGGGAAGATGCGGGGAGGGGGGGCGGTCAACACTTGGGGGTGGAATTTTTTTCTCTTCTGAGCCTGAGAGCCAGTAAGGAATCTCACACTTAGCACCAGGAGTCCAGTCTGAGCGTGGAAAGGAGGAAGTGCAGTGACCCTTATTGTGTGTTGGGTGCCTGAAAGGCACTTCATGTATTTCATCTGCTTTAATAATTCTGGTAGTTACTGTGTGAAGCAGAGAGACATCCCACAGCTATATTTTCATTTTAAAATTATATTAACGTCCCTTTAGACTTATAGTAATTTTCTGCAGGATAAAAAGGATATGACTGTTTGCTAGCCTTCTGTAAAAGAATGAGAGTCACGTAAAGGAGGCTTGATTTCTCTGCTATTAAAATCATCGAGCATTATCATTTTTCAGGTTTCACATGCAATCTGCATATGTGACAACAGCTCCAAAATTACACTGACTGTAAACACAATTTTGTGATAACAACCTGTTAGCGGTGATGGTGGTAATTACTGTCAGTGCTCTGAGTGACAGGACAGCCGGTTCTGAATTATGTGTGCAAGGAAGCCTCCAAATCAACATAAGCACGATCCGTGCAGGGACCTGCTGGTCCTTCAGAGGGGAGCATTTCATGGAACAAAAAAAGCTGCCGCCTCCTTCTAATTCTGGATGCCAGAAGATGTTTTCAAAAGCACAGTTCTAATGCTGTGTGTTATATTTGTGGTGAATGGGCATTCTTTCATGGAGGTGCAGCCTGAAATGGGATTCTGTGTAGAAGCATGAAGGACTTTCCAGAGAGTTCTAAAGGGGTGGTTGAGCAATGTCTATTGTGCAGTGACTTTCAGGTACAGTCTTTGTGACACGCTCCACAAATGGCATCTCAGTAGCTAATTGTTGTCCTGTGATAGAATAAATGTGACTATTGTGCTGCATGTTGATTGATTGCATTTATCATCTCTTCTAGCCTGATGAAAGACTACTTTTTTAAGCCACCCATTAACCAGTTCAGCTTGAACTTCCTGGATCCGGAGCTCGAGCGGGCCTACAGGACCAGCTATCAAGAAGAGGTGTGTGTTTCCTCACAATTTTACTAAAGACATGCAGGTTTTACTAAGTAGCTCTCAGTCTTGTGCTTGGGCAGCCTTTTTTCGTTTTCCTGAGCAACAGGAAATTGAAGGCTCATTTTGATCTTCCACAGTCTGTATGTAAGCCCTGAATTTCATCTGTATGTGAATTTATCACCACAAGGGAGGAAACCCTAAATCTCTCTATAGTAACTCAGGTCTTGGTCTCCTTCCCCTTCAGGTGGTGGGTGCCCAGGCTCCTCGGCCGTGCTCCAGCCCCTGGAGGCCTAGTATGGGGAGGGGGGCTCCAGCCCCACGTGTTCTGTTCTCCAGTAGCACTTCTCTCCCTGTTCCCTGTTGGCTTTCTTCCCACTGAGATGGGACAAGAGTCAGAGGCCTGCCACCTCGCTGGGCCTTCCCAGGTGTTTCAGGGCTGAGCTCCCTTCCACTGCCCTCCCCTGCCTTAATTCCTGCTGTCCTGTAACTCTAAGCCCAGACGTCACTTCCTCCAAGAAATAGTCCCTGACTGCGGACTGGATTCCCGCGCACCCCCCCCCTCCGTTATACCATATCTTCACAGCTGGAATCCCTTTTTGAAACCTCTTCTTGTGGGACTGTTGAATCATATGCCTCCCTCCCTGGACTCTCAGCTTGGGGAGGCAGGCAGGAGCCCATCTCTTATTCTCTACTCTATGTGGTATCCGGTCCCCAGACCTGCAAGTGCTTGGTGGGGCTTGATGGGAGCAATGGACAGATGCAGGAGCCTAGAGCCTGGTTTGAGTTACAAGCAGCCAGCCCCTTGCAGTCTTCATAGACCTAACCCGGCTTAGTGTTACAAGGTCAAAAACACATACCCTCCCAGCCCAGAGCCAAAAGGATTCCTCCTTTGACTTCCATTTGTTCATCCAGAGGATTACCCCTTAGTGCCTGTTGCATCCAGGGCCCGACCAGGCCCAAAAGTCCTGGTGAAACAGACAGGGCAGGTCATGCCTGTGGGATTGGGTTTCATGAGCCTCTTGGGACCTGAATACCTGTGAACACCCCAGGCGGGGCTCCTCATGTGGACTTTGGAGTCAGTTGATTGGTGCCTGGAGAGCAGAACATCATCTCATTTAGTCCACAAAGCAGCCTTTCAAGCAAGCTTACGATGATCCCCATTTTGCCAAAAGAAAGCCAAGGCCAGGGAAGGCTGAGAGGCTGAGACCCCATCGCCAGAGTGGAACACCCCCCAACCCCGGTGCTGAGTGCAGAGCCTCCCTAGAAGCGAGCATGGGCTACCCACCCCTCTCATCACCGGATGCTCCCTGAGCATCCTGCTCCTGGGACTGAGGCGGAGAGATGACAGACACTCTCGGGGAAGCAGTAACCTGGCAGAAGTCAGACCCCAGACCCCTGGGTCCCGGAAGGCCCTCAAAGCACACCGACCCCAGCTTGAGGGCCTAGAGGGAGCCGTGTCAGTGGGAGGGCTGGCAGCTAACCCAGTGAGGGAACGTCCCAGAGAGGGGCCAGCAGCTACAGACCTTGGAGATGAGACAAAGCCTGGGTACCTCCAGGGATCTGGGGGCGCTTCCATCTGGCAGATGGGGTGGAGGTGGCAGGTGGGCAGCTTCCTGCACAGTGGACGTTATGCCAAAGGCCAGGAGAGCTGGGAAGGATCCAGAACAGGGGGTGGCACCATTAGACTGTGCTGTGTAGAGGTCATGTGGCCGAGCCATAGAAGGTGACGGGAGTGGATGAGCCTGTAGTCTGGGGCGCAGGTGGGGTGCTGCCCCTGAAACTTGGGGCAGGGTGGCGAGGAGGGGAGGGTTGCAGGAGCAGCGGAAGGCTCCAGGCCATCCCCACTTAGGCCCCTACCACACTCAGCATTTTCCCAGTGAAGCATCACCGTCGCCCGTAAGGTGTTGGTCCAGAGTACATCCTTGTTCCCAGATAAGGAAATGAGGCCCAGGGATAGTAGGTGACGTGGTCAAGGCACCACAGCCCTGGCCGGGCTCCTTGCCTGTGTGACCTCGGGTAGCCCCTTGCCTTGGCCTCTGACCTGTGCCCCCAGACGAGGAGCATCTCCTCCTCAAGAACTGTGTGAGCGTGGAGTGAGGCCGGTCCCCGCAAGGGTCCACCTGGTGCCTGGGGCTGGCCTCTCTCGGACTCTGGCTTTGTCATCATTTCTCCCCCTTGCTGTGATTCCCTAATACCCCGTGCATGTCGCTTTGTCACACTGACCACACCACCATCTCAGACCCTCGTCTGCCCACCATTAGGCTGTGAGCCCCCCAGGGGCATTGTTTCCCGCCTGTCTGTCCCCCTGCACCCCATGCAGGCCCAGGCCCAGAGCAGACTCTTGCTGTCACTGTTACTGCTGACCTGCTGCTGCTCTAGCCCCGCCTTCTGCTTCTGTCCTGAAGCCCCGAGTCTGGACCGAGCTTCTAGCACGTGACTTTCTGTCACCAGCGTATTTTGGGCTCAATGTGTCCCACGCCTGTGAGAATTTACTGGTTTGTAGTCAGCTGCTCTGTGACCTTGGACAAATTTCTGCACTTCTCTGTGCCTCAGTTTCCTCACTGTTGGGCAGGGGGTAGTAGTAGGGAGACGGCTGTGTGAAGCATTTCTCGCCCTGCACCTGGTCCGCGGGAGGCAAGTGCTCAGTAGACATCCACTGCTTTCCGCCTGGGTCACCTTCTTCCCGGTGGGTACGTCCAGCAGTGTCTGTTAACGTTCCCCCACCACCACCCCCCAAACAGGTTATAAAGAACTCTCCCGTGAAGACTTTTGCCAGTGCCACCTTCAGCTCCCTCCTGGATGTGTTTCTGTCGACAACAGTGTTTCTGATTCTCTCCATCACCTGCTTCCTGAAGTACGGGGCCGCCTCCACGCCGCCCCCTCCGGCCGCCCTGGCAGTCTTTGGAGCCGCCCTGCTGCTGGAGATCCTGTCCCTCGTGGTCTCCGTCAGGTAAAGGCCCACCTGCGAGCGGCTCCCCAGCTATTAGCCTTCAGCTCCCTCTGCTGGCGTAACTGCCAGCCGGCTCCGTGAGTGCATTTCTGGACAGTCCTCTTCTCTCCCCTGCCCCAGCCTTGCTTCACAGGCTCCTCCCTGGTGAACCCCTCAGCACAGGGGGTCCCCCGCCTTACCTGCAGGTCAGTGTCCTCTGCGGCCTCGACACCACCAGTTAAGTCCCTTGAGCGCCCAAACCAGACAGTTAGAAAGTGGGAAGATAAGGGGTAAAAAAGCGGGGCAGAGAGAGAGAGAAAAGGAGGTGTGCAGGGTGCGCCTGGGAGGGGCCTCTCCTGGGCGCAAGAGTGAAGCTCCAAAGCCCCAGAGGACGCGCAGGCCAGGTCCATGGGCTCGGGTCAGGCAGTGGTTTCTTCAAGGTGCCACAGAAACATGAGCAACCAAAGAGAACATAGCCAAGTTGGACTTCATTAGAATCTAAAACTTTCGTGTTTCAAAGAACACCGTCATCACCTTTCACCCCCCAAGTGAAAGAGAACATACCGAACAGAATAGTATTTGCAATCGTGTCCATGACAAGGGTCTAGAATGTTAGCTCAATAATAAAAAGACACTCCATTTAAAAATGGACAGAGGGTCTGAAGAGACATCAGGGCCCCTCTAGGAGGCAGGGCCCTCAGGACCCGCCCAACCTACCTTCAGGTTCAGCTGCAGCCCCAGGAGCTCACAGTGATTCTACCGATGCCAGCGGTGCCCCAGGCCCACCCCTTCCTCCAGCCCTGCTGCTCTCAGGACAGCCCCACACTGGGGGTCAGAGAGAAATAGGGAGACTGGCCCTGACCTGGAGTTTCTGCTCCTCCCCGACATCCCAGGACAGGAAACTAGCTTCGGGTCTGGCCCTGAAGCTTCCAGTGCATGACCCCTCCCCGCCACGCTCACATCCAGCCTCCCCTGAGGCCTCTTCAGCTCTTCGCCAAAGGGTTTCGCTGCCTTTGCCCATATCAAGGCCTGCTCTGGGGCCTGCCTCCCTCCGTGTCTCGGCTCCAAGCTCCTCACCAAGCATGCTCGGGACCCACTCCCAAACTAGCTGCACCCTGTGCGGGCCTGCCCTTGGCCAGGGGGCACTGAAAAGACCCAAACCCTGATTTTCCTTTCTCCCCGCTCCCCAGGATGGTGTTTTTCCTGGAGGATGTGATGGCATGCACCAAGCGCCTGCTGGAGTGGATAGCCGGCTGGCTCCCGCGCCATTTCATCGGGGCCATCCTGGTGTCCCTCCCTGCCCTGGCGGTGTATTCACACGTTACCTCCGAGTTTGAGACAAACATACACGTAAGTAGAGTCACAGTGATTTTGTGTCCAGGCTCCTCTAGGCTTACAGATCACTTTTTTTTTTTTAAATAAGCCTGCTGGCTTGAGACAGGAATTTAAACACAGAGGCCCGTACCCTATCAGTCTTCTGAACTTGTCTTTTTAAAAGACTTGCCTAGGACAGAGGAGCAGCCTCAGAGGTTGGACGAGGGCCTGCCTGTCCCCCGTGGGGCTGGGTCCTGTCCCATCCCCTGAGTGTCGCCAAATCCCAGTCAGTTATCTCCTCACACATTTGATGAGGAAGCATCTGTCCCACATATCCAAATGTTACAGGGTAATATGCTGTTGTCCGTAATCTGTACTTCATTTTAAAAGAAAAGTAAAAATAATAACCTTAGTCTGCAGAACTGGCACCAACCATCCACTGGCACCTCGATCAGCTGCTGTTGATCATGGAGGGTGCTTCCAAGTTAAACCCATAAAGAGTGAATTCACGCTGCTGTGCAAGATTGTATTTCTGGTGCCGGCAAGTGTAGCACAAAGTGTTGGCGGGCTGGCTGCATTCGATATTTACACACCCAGTTTCATTTCCGCTGACATGCAGCAGGGTGCCTGCAGGATGGGTTTTGGGGAGGGAACTGATGACAGGGTGGCTTCATGGGGGCAGCCTGCCTTTCCTTCCCTCCGAGGTGACGTGTGCGATTCCCACACATCGGAGAGGAATCTTAGTGCCAGTGAGACCTCTAAGCGAGAAAACTGTGGGTGCTTAATTAATCCCATGGATTATGATCTGCCCCTGAACTGAGGGTGTTCTGTTCCACAGAAGGACAGGTAAACGAGTGTGTCATCTGCTCTCGGGGTACCCAGGCGGCGGGGAGGCAGGTGGGTGCACTGGGGTCCTCATGAGTCCTCCCCTCGTTTCAGTCCACCGTGTTCACGGGCTCCGCCGTGCTGACTGCAGTGGTGCAATACTGCAACTTCTGCCAGCTCAGCTCCTGGATGCGGTCCTCCCTGGCCACTGCCGTTGGGGCCGGGCCCCTGCTGCTTCTGCTCTACGTCTCCCTGTGCCCGGACAGGTACGTGAGCCCTGCTCGCCACGCAGGGGTCACCTGCCCTGATGCTTTCATCCCCCTCATGCCTCCCCTCTTAATTGAGATATATAATTGACACAGAAGTATTAGTTTCCAGGTGCACCATGTAATGATTTAGTATTTCTGTACTTTGTGAAATGATGACCACCATGTCTAGTTAAGTTACTCTCAGGAATTTCCTGGAAGTTCAGTGGTTAGGATTTGGTGCTCTCACTGCTGGGGCCCAGGTTCAATCCCTGGTGGGGGAACTAAGATCCCACAAGCCGTGATGTGAAGCCAAAAAATGAAAAAAAGTTACCCTCTCAGCAACTTTCAAATATATAGTACAGTATTATTAACTGTAATTACCATGGTGTATGAGTTCAAGTAAACTCCGGGAGTTGGTGATGGACGGGGAGGCCTGGCATGCTGTAGTCCATGGGGTCGCAAAGAGTCAGACATGTCTGAGCAACTGAACTGAACTGAACTGACCACGGTGTATGTTACTTCCCCAGGACTTATTTACTTTATAACCGGAACTTTGTACCTTTTCAGAACCTTCACCTGTTTTACCCACCTTCCACCCCTGCCTCTGGCAACCCAGTCTGTTCTCTGAAGAGTTCATGGTGTGTTTTTTGGTTTGTTTTTAGAGTCTACATGTAAATGAGATCATACAGTATTTGTCTTTCTCTGTCTGACTTACTTCATTTAATGCCTCCCAAGGTCTGTCCATGTTGTCGCAAATGACAGGATTTCTTTCTTTTTTATGGCTGAATCATATTCTGTTGTATATATACCATGTCTTCTTTGTCCATTCATTCATTGATAGACACTTAGGTTCCTTCACATCTTGGCTATTGTAAGTAGTGCTATAATGGACATGTGGATACAGATGTCTTTTCAAGTTGCTGTTTGTGTTGCCCTCAGATGTTTCTGAAGTGAACTGCTAGGTCATATATTAGTTCTATTTCTAACTTTGGGGGGAGCCTTCACAGTGTTTTCCATGGCAGCTGCACCAGTTTACTTCTCACTAGCAGTGCACGGGGCTTCCTTGGAAGCTCAGCTGGTAAAGAATCCGCCTGCAATGCAGGAGACCCCAGTTTGATCCCTGGTCAGGAAGATCCCCTGGAGAAGGGATGGGCTACTTGATTCAGTATTCTTAGGCTTCCCTGGTGGCTCAGCTGGTAAAGAATCCTCCTGCAATGCAGGAGACCTGGGTTCGATCCCTGGGTTGGGAGGATCCCTTGGAGGAGGACATGGTAACCCACTTCAGTACTCTTGCCTGGAGAATCCCCATGGACAAAGGAGCCTGACGAGTTACAGTCCATGGGGTCCCCAAGAGTTGGACATTGCTGAGTGACTAAGCACCGTGCAGCAGTGCCCAAGAGTTTTCTTGTCTCCATGTCTTCAACATCACTTGTTACTTACATTCTTTTTTATATCTGTGCTAATAGGTGTGAGGTGGTATTTTACTTGATGTGCATTTCCTTGATAACTAGGGGGATATTAAGCAGCTTTTCATGTACTTACGAGCCATCTCTATGTCTGCTTTAGAAAAATGTCTATTTAGATCCTCTGCCTGTTTTTCAATTAAATTTCTGGGTTTTGCTATTGAACTGTGTCTGTCACTTGTGCTTTCTCATCAGTACTAATGCCCTCCACTCCAACAGACATTTACTGTCTCAACAGGAAATAGCTTTTAACCTCATCAAGTCAACAACTTGATGAAATGCCCAAAGAGTAATGTGCAAAGGAAAGAAAAAGGAAATAGCAAAATAAGTATTTACCTGTAGACCTCCTGGGGTGACCACCAGCTGACGTCATGCAGTAGTCACATGCTAGAACTCACAGTTGTCCCTGGTATCCTCAGGGGATTGGTTCCCAGACCCCTTCCTCTAATACCAACATTCGGGGATGTTCAAGTTCCTCCTATAAATGGTGCCACATTTGCATATAACCTACAGAGCTGTTGAGGCTACTTATGATACCTCATACAGTGTAAGTGCTATGTTGTAAGTTGTAAGCATGCAGCAAATTTAAATTTTGCTTTTTTTGAACTTTCTGGAAATTTTCTTCATAATATTTTCGATCTGAAAGTGAAAGTTGCTCACTTGTGTCTGACTCTTTGCGACCCCATGGACTCTACAGTCCATGGAATTCTCCAGGCCAGAATACTGGTGTGGGTAGCCCCTCTCTTCTCCAGGGGATCTTCCCAACTCAGGGGTCCAACCCATGACTCTCCTGCATTGCATTCTGTACCTTCTGAGCCACAAGGGAAGCCCAAGAATACTGGGGTGGCTACCGGGCTTCCCTGATAGCTCAGTTGGTCAAGAATCTGCCTGCAATGCAAGAGACTCCGGTTTGATTCCTGGGTCGGGAAGATCCACTGGAGAAGGGATTTTTGATCTGAGGTTGGTTGAATCCAGAGATGCAGAACCTGTGGATGTAGAAGGCCGTTTGTATTTACAATGAAGAAGTTTGAATTTAAGAAAGCAGGACTAGAAGCCATTTCATACAAGACTATGAAGGAAACGAAGTGATGGAGGTGGACCTGACACACAAATGGAAAGAAGTAGCAGGCTCTTGTAGCAGGGCCAGTGTGCCGAGACAGGCCGCAGCCTGGCGAAGTGGAGGAACTGAAGAATGAGGGCCTCGAGAGTGACCTGGCCCTATTCATAAATACCATGTCGTAACAGTTCTCCGCCTTATGACATGAAATGTTAGGGCAGTGAGGCATCACTAGAAATACATCTCTTATCTTGAAATCCTTCCACATATTGAAGAATACATTCTACTCAAATGGCCTTCAAAGCTCTTTCACTGGTGATGTGGGGAAAAGAAACAGGAGCTTTGTGAAGACCCCTGGGGACAGGGTCTGTTCTGTGCTATGAAAAAATGTAAAAATTAAAATAAATTGGATGGTGCTGATAGGTGCTGTGTTTAAAACAGCCTTTGTTAATGAATCCATCAAGACTCCTACTTTCCATGTGTCCTACTAATTAAGTTGTGTTTTGGTTACCCTAAATCACCAGTTGCACATTTGCAACTGGCTTTGTGGCTTTTAACCTTTTCAACTAAATATATAATTGGAAATACGATGCTACCTTGGACAGCAGAGTGCACATAGTAAGTAATTTATTCAGAAATTTGGAGGGAATGTCTCAGATAATTAAGCTTCTGTTTCTAAACGTGGGACTTTTTGTGTAACTGCTTATGAAAATGTCTTATGTTAGCACACAGTAAAGAACCATTCATTTATAGTTACAGTGGGTTTAGGTTAGCAGGGTATTTCAGAGTTCCCTGGGACATTTCTCCATTGTGCTCTGCAGGACACCTAACATTCCTGGCTCCCCAGATTACTATGCCAACCAGGAGGGACTCCAGTATTCCCAAAATGCTCCCCTGTGCTATGCTGCGCCTAGTTGCTCAGTCATGTCTGACTTTCTCTTACCCCATGGACTGAAGGGAGTCCCCCTCGGACTGTCCGCCAAGCTCCTCTGTCCATGGGGATTCTCCAGGCAAGAATACTGGAGTGGGTAGCCTTTCCCTTCTCCAAAATGCTCCCCTAGGAGTGGCATTACCACTGAGAATCATTGCTTTCGTAAATTCAAAAGTAGAAAATGGTCTAATTTGTTTCAATATCCAGATGAAATCACCATAGTGCATTTGGGGTATTACCAAAGCAGTGGTCAGTAATGGACAGAGTGAGTGTCCTTCCTCAATTTACTTAATAAAATAATAGCGACATGAAAGATGTTCAAGTTCTTTGCAAATTAAGATCAAAAAGGGAATTCAAAGTATTCAGCATTCACTTTATTCAGGAAATTTACTGCTATTCAGCATTTGAAAGGAAACTTTAATGAACAGTTAAATTACTTTAAGCAAAACAAAGTGTCCTTTTTCCTTACTGAAGGTGTGTGCAGCCTTCTGGTCTTTATAAAGCTCTTTCCCAACAGTATGAAGTTCAGTAATCCATTTTTTAACCTTTTAAATCCATCACAATTACCCCATCAGCCATTCAGTCACAGGGATGAACCTTTTCCACTTGATTCTGGAGAGCATTAGCTATGGGAAACCCAGAAATCAAGCAGGAGATCTCGAAGTGGGGCTGGTGGTTGAATCTCTGCTTGACCCGTCTCACCCCCATACTCACAGGATCCTCTCAGCCCACCCACCCCGTCACTGCTGAGCCCAACCAGGATAGGGGACATGTTCAGTTCAGTTCAGTTGCTCAGTTGTGTCCAACTCTTTGCGACCCCATGGACCGCAGCACGCCAGGCCTCCCTGTCCCTCACCAACTCCCAGAGTCCACCCAAACGCATGTCCAGTGAGTTGTTCATGCCATCCAACCATCTCATCCTCTGTCATCCCCTTCTCCTCCTGCCCTCAATCTTTCCCAGCATCAGGGTCTTTTCCAATGAGTCAGCTCTTCGCATCAGGTGGCCAAAGTTATTAAGAGTTTCAGCTTCAACATCAGTCCTTCCAATGAACACCCAGGACTGATCTCCTTTAGGATGGACTGGTTGGATCTCCTTGCAGTCCAAGGGACTCTGAAGAGTCTTCTCTAACACCACAGTTCAAAAGCATTAATTCTTCGGCGCTCAGCTTTCTTTATAGTCCAACTCTCACATCCATACATGACTACTGGAAAAACCATAGCCTTGACTAGATGGACCTTTGTTGACAAAGTAATGTCTCTGCTTTTTAATATGCTTTCTAGGTTGGTCATAACTTTCCTTCCAAGGAGTAAGCGTCTTTTAATTTTATGGCTGCAGTCACCATCTGCAGTGATTTTGGAGCCCCCAAAAATAAAGTCAGCCACTGTTTCCCCATCTATTTGCCATGAAGTGATGGGACTGGATGCCATGATATTAGTTTTCTGAATGTTGAGCTTTAAGCCAACTTTTTCACTCTCTTCTTTCACTTTCATCAAGAGGCTCTTTAGTTCTTCTTCACTTTCTGCCATAAGGGTGGTATCATCTGTATATCTGAGGTTATTGATATTTCTCCCAGCTATCTTGATTCCAGCTTTTGCTTCATCCAGCCTAGCGTTTTTCATGTACTCTGCATATGAGTTAAATAAGCAAGGTGACAATATACAGCCTTGATGTACTCCTTTTCCCATTTGGAACCAGTCTGTTGTTCCATGTCCAGTTCTAACTGTTGCTTCCTGACCTGCATACAGATTTCTCAACAGGCAGGTCAGGTGGTCTGGTATTCCCATCTCTTTCAGATTTTTCCACAGTTTATTGTGATCCACACAGTCAAAGGCTTTGGCATAGTCAATAAAGCAGAAATAAATGTTTTTCTGGAACTTTTTTTTTTTCGATGATCCAGCGGATGTTGGCAGTTTGAGCTCTGGTTCCTCTGCCTTTTCTAAAACCAGCTTGCACATCTGGAAGTTCACAGTTCACATATTGCTGAAGCCTGGTTTGGAGAATTTTGAGCATTACTTTACTACTGTGTGAGATGAGTGTAATTGTGCGGTAGTTTGAGCATTCTTTGGCATTGCCTTTCTTTGGGATTGGAATGAAAACTGACCTTTTCCAGCCACTGCTGAGTTTTCCAAATTTGCTGGCATACTGACTGCAGCACTTTCACAGCATCATCTTTTAGAATTTGAAATAGTTCAACTGGAGTTTTATCACCTCCACTAGCTTTGTTCATAGGGGGAACAAAACATGAACTCAATTCCTGTGAAGCAGGGAGGACTCTTCTAGCTTTGAGGAGACAGGGGGGACTCTTCCAGCTTTGCAGGGGGACACACACGTGGGTTATAGCAGTGTCACAGTCTCGTCTGGACTGGATGAGAAGAGGACATAAAGTCTTAGAATTCGCATTTTGTGTGTAGCTCTTTCTTTCCTTCTCTGTGAAGGCAGCTTCTGTAATCACGTAAGCCACTCTGAGCCCTCACTGGCCTGTGCTGCCCAGGAGAGCTGCTCCCAGGTGCTCCAAGAGGTCTTCTTTGCAGGAAGCAAGGCTGGGGGCCTGGAGGATGAAGTGTCAGGGCCCTTGCCCCAGAGAGAGGGGAGGTTCAGGTGATCTGTGGGCCTGACTGGATGCTGGGTACAAGGTGACTCCAAAGGAAGCCATGGAAAGGATGGGCTGTGTGTCTCGGGCACCTTCCCCAGCAGCACCGGGAGAGAGGTTGTTAGGCACTTGTGGTTTCAGTGCCCTAAAATTGGGATTTGATTGCTTTGGACACTACCAATAGCCAAGTTCAGCTTCCAGAGTAAATAATTCAGCAGCACCTCCAGAAGGGCCTTTTGAAATTGATCCTCTGTCAGTAGACTTCGATGTCTGAAAATGACTTAAGTTTCCAGCCTGTAGACACTGTGGATGTGTTCTTAGCAACAAAATGAAGGCTTTAGAGACCTTTCCTGATTTTGCTCTTTGTTGACTGTGCGTACCTTCCATGGCTCATATTAAAAGTTGTTGTCATTGTTAATATTTATTTACTTATTTGACATGCTGGGTCTTAGTGCAGCATGTGGGATCTTTCTTTAATTTTTGTTGCAGCACGTGGGATCTTTAGTTGTGGCATGCAGGATCTGGTTCCCCAACCAGGGATTGAACCCAAGCCCCCTGCACTGGGAGCAAGGAGTCTTAACCACTGGATCACCAGGAAAGTCCTGCTAGAAAGGCTTTTACATCATTGTCTTTACCATTCTGTTATTTTTCATTAGTGCACAGCATCAAATTATAATTAAAATTTACTGTCCTTAACTGTCTACCTTGAACTCCACCTTGAAAATAGAAAAGTTGTTTTTATTTAAACTCTTCTCAGATTGCTTTGTATAGTGCCTTCCTAGCTTTTTATAATCATAGTTTTCTGCATTTTAATTTCAGTTCCACTGTAATTTCACACCTTGATGCAGTACAGAATTTCAGGTAAGCTTTTAACATTGTGCCTATATCTGCATAAGTGAGAGTAACTATATTATTGCTGGTTATTTCTAAGCTTCCTGAAAACAGTTGTGTCTTGAATAAAGAGAACAACATACTCACTCTTAAAAGAGTAAGTGGAAAATATCTGTTTATTAAAGTAGCAGATCGTATTTAGAATATCTCATTGGGAAAGTGAATGACTGCTAAGACACAGGCAGGTTTCTCCTGCTGTCTTGCCAGTGGCGTTCCTGTGAAAACTTTCCTTACCCTCACTGTGGAGCAGCAGTTACCGCAGGACACAGCCTGCTGTCGGAGGCACAGAACGCGTCGAGGTGAAGCGCTGATGCTCACAGCTCAGAGCTGCGGTGGCCAATGCGGCGATGCTGAGAGTGGAAGCTGGGGAGGACTCCCTCCTTTCAGAGCGGTGCTGCCTTTCTAGCATTCACTGCAGAACAGACGCAGAGCTCTGTTTTTACTTTCTGCCTTTTCCCCTAAAGGCCAAAATCCCCTTCAGATTCCTTTCATTAGCAAAAACAGGTACTAGTATAAATCTTTCATCCAAGCAAAGCAGTGAAAAGCCAACTTTCAAAAAGCAAAGGATTCTGGTATTAGATTTGGTTTAATTTTATATACAACCTTTTATATACGACTGTTACAAAGAAAATCTCACAAATCACACAGTACTTTATTCCCTAAAATATTTTGAAATAACTCACTAGAAATTTGAAGAAGAAAAAAAAAAGGTTGGGTCCTTTCCTTACTATAAACATCAAAATTTAATTCTAAATAAATTGAACTCAAAAATTTTTTAATTATCTAAAAGTATATAAATATCTAGAAAAACAAAATTAATCAGTTCTCAAGTCTCTAAGACAGAGATAACTTTCCGGCCTTACAAATACTAAATAAAACCACATTCACAAAAAAATAAGTCTGACCAAGTGGGTGGTGCCAGCACACTGAGATAAATATCTGTGGGACTGTTACATAAAGAGCTAATTAAGACCTGCATAGATGAGAGACAGAGAAATCACAAAACAGGAAACGTAGTAGGAGATAAATACACTACTCCCTAAGTCCTTGCACAGTTAAACTACAAAATTCCCTCTGAGCTTCTACATTTTTCCTTCAAAATGTTACCATATGGATATCCAGTGCAGGCCAGGGTATGGCACATTTATGAATTGATGCTGGTGTTTAATATAGGTTTGTTGAATCTGCACAATAACCTCATACATTAGGAGACTTTGTCCCTAGTTTCCAGATAAGGAAGCTGAAGCTCAGAGAAATGAAGGAACCTGCCTGTGGACACACAGCTAGTAACTGGCAGTGTTTTAACCCTTGCCTCCATCACTGCCAGGCCATGCTTTTTCTGCCATGCTTCATTACTTTTCAGATGGCAAAGTAACTTGACAGTCTATAAAAAATAGTCCTAAAAATGTTCATCACCTTTAGCCTAATAATTCTATTTTTTAAGCTTATCTGCTGAGGAAATAATTCAGCATTTGGTAAAGGCCACATGCCCCCAAATATTGATCATAGTGTTTTATAATATTGAATGTTCATCAGCAACTTCAGTTGTCAGTAAAAGAGAAGTTAGTTATGAAACATGTACCCAAATATTGCAGCCATTAAAATATTGAAGTTATGGAAAGCATTCATGATTTTTCATCTTTCATTTTTATGTGAAATTGCATGTCTTATAGCTACAGGTAGGTATTTCATTATATATTTTAAAAAGTAAGATATGTAATACTTATGATCTAATGGCAAGTGGTGATTTTTTCTATTTCTATAATTAAATTAAATATCTGTGTACGTTTAGATGTTGGGAAGGAGAATTAAAGTGACAATAGAAGTAGAATACATTTGCACAGAAAAGTCCCTAGATGAGAAGAACAGCTCAGTGAATTTTCACAAGTGAACACACCCATTTAACTGCCACCCAGACCAAGAAGTGAAACAGTACTGCAGCCCAGAAGCTCCCCATCACACCTCCTCCTGGGTCCCTGCACCCATCCTAAGCATAGATTTTAAATGGCATTGAAATACGCCATAATGTTGACACATCCCATGTTGAGCTGGCTAGGATGACCAGTGGTCTGTGTTTTCTGTTTCTCTCTATTTTGTAATCCCTCTCTTCTGTGGTAATGAACTCTATCTTACTGTAACCTCCATTTGTCCACCTGTTGAGTTGTCTCTTGCATTTATTCATATCAAATCCCTCCTTTAGAGACTGACCTTCACTATTTGCATTTAGGAGTAGAGCTGTTGCCTTCATTATCCCTTCTGCAGTAGAATAAGAAACACAGGTGTAGAGTGGAGGTAATTCTGTCACCCGCTGGTGGCAGATCTCTTTGGCTGCAGGGCAGCCCAGGGCTCGACATGACAGTCTGTGCACTAGGACCCTTCCTTTTCTCTCTCTCTCTCTTTTTAATTGAAGGATACTTGCTTTACAGTGTTCTGTTGTTTTCTGTCAAACCTCAGTATGAATCAGCCATAGGTATACACATATCCCCTCCCTTTTGAACCTCCCTCCTTTTTAAGCAAAGGCCAGAGCAGGCAGTGCCAGTGTTCCCTCTCCCTCTCCCACCTGCCACTTCTCACATTCCCCTGCTCCATCCAGAGCAGACTGGCCCGTGCCCGTCCCAGGCTTGGGCCACGCTGCCGGCTTTGGCCGCAGCGCAGTCAACTCCTCTGCCCTGCCCACTTCTCCCTCTGGATTCTACACTGCCTGGTTCTAAGATGACCTGAAGCCTCAGTGACATCTCCCCATACAGAGGCTGTTCCTCAGTGTTGCCTCTTCGGAGAAACAAAGGAAAGGCCAGCTCCTCAGCCAAGGAGAGGAGTTCATGCAGGGAAGACTCCTCCCTCCAGACTCTCCCCTCCTCTGGGCCAGCCAGAGGTCTTAAGGGGCTGCACATGGATCTGTTTCAGTACCTAAAAGAGTTATGTTTAGTGCTTGTGATTCATAGTATGTTTTGCCATTTATTTAAGTGACAGTTGGCAAAATAAATGAGTGAAGTGTGGTGAATCTTGCCACAGAGGCCTTTTTTGGTTCCTGGTTCTTAGGCATGAAGTCAGGGTCCCCAAGACCACCCACGCGCAGAGATCATTCTCTTGGGGGACTCGGAACTCACCATATGGTTGTACCCATGACCATGGTTTAATACAGCAAACAGGACAGAAAGCACGAACATCGGGGCAAGGGTGCATGAGACGAAGCCTGGAGGAGACCAGACGCCTGTGTTCAGGAGTCTGCGCCCAGTGGGGTCATGCAGGGTGTGCTGAAACCCCCAGCTGTGAGCTGTGACAGCCGGTGTGCAGCGCCCACCGGGGAAGTGCATCACATGGGCACCCTCTGCCTGGCAGGTTCCAAAGTCCCAGGTTTCTGGAGGAAGGGCAAGTGCCCAGCACACACTCTTGTTGCTACAAGCAGTCCAGGCACAGTGAACCCCTCTCCTCGGGGACTGGCGGGAATGCCCCAAAGCCAAGCTCCCAATGCCAACCTAGGGTGCCCTGCCCATGGGCCTCTCTACGACACAGCCTCAGGCCCTTTCTGCACAGGCCCTTGGGCCGGTAGAGACTTAGCCATACTCCAGCCCATCTTCAGTTTACACATGAGCAAACAGACCTGAAAGGTGGTGTGACCTGCCCAAGGGTCCCAGAGCTCTTCGCAGGGGCGCCAGTCTGGCCATTACTCCAAGGCTGGGGCCTTTGGGACTATGTTTCATGGAAGGCGTTATGGCCAGATTGGTCAGTTTCATTATTTTTAATATCCTTAAGTTACTGCTAACAGTGAAACTCATTTAAAGCACTGTGATTACAGAATTGAGCTTTCTGTGCCATGGCACTGTCTACACTCAGGATCCATCTGTTTTGTATATAATTATATTCCTATAAGTGACCCAGCAGCCCTCTCTGTGCATTTTAGAGTACAGCAGGGAACAGTTTACATAAGCAGAGCAATCACAGCCGTGTAAGCTAATAGAAGAAGGATGAGAAGGAAATTCAACGAGCATTAACAGTGATCGCCTCTGGATAGTACAATGACAGTGAATCTCTTTTTTCTTTCTACTTTTGCCCTAACCTTTCTATGCTGAGTATGTAGTATTTTTAAGTGGAAAAAAAATTCTACTTAAAGAATAAACTTTAGAAGAGGCAGTAGCCCATGCTCATCTTCAGTCCTCGGGTGCCAGCTGTGGCCCTACAGCACCTTCACCACACTGCGTAGAGCCGCAAAACAGACCGAGCGGACTCGGTCATCAGAAGGAAGAGAAATGGGTTCCACCTTTAGAAGGGTAGTTTGGACATTTCTACTGGAATTCTAAGTGCGGTATTTTACATGACTCACAGGTCCATGCTCAGGAATTTATCCCATAGGCAGGCTCCTTCATACGCACAGAGATGCACTTGGGAGTACCTAGAAGCCCAAAGATGGGCGGAGTCAAGCACCCTCACCCAGCGTCTGGTAATGACTGCACAGCCAAGGGTTAGAATAGTGCGAAAGGGCACCGCATAGGAGAGACGCTCATTTTCCGTTGGTTATAATGTTTGAGTTTCTTATAGTATCTTACTCTTAAAAGTGTACATTTTATATACATATATTTAAAGGTTAAAGTTGTCCTAAATGACTTTGGTAAAACAGAGCTAACCCGGGTGGGGGAGTGGGAAGGAGGGAGCAGGCAGATTGTATCAAAGTATATGGATATGAAGTATCTTGGGTATGGCAGTGTGGTATGGTTCCCAGGGAGGTGGCCTTGCTCTTAGGAGACAGGTCCTGAGCAGTTCAGGACTGAAGTGGCCTGGTGTCTGCAGCTTGCTTTCAGAATATTCAGCAAAGTGTGCCTGTGTGAATGTGCATGCACGTGTGTACCCCATGTGTGGAGTGTGTATTGACAAGGGGCGGGGGAAGCAAAGTAGCACAATGTTGACAACAGTTTCATGCAAGAGAATGGTGTACAAATGTGTGTTTTGCTAGTCTCTTAACCTTTTTTTGTAAGGTGGAGACTTTTCAAACTAGAAAGTTGGGAAAACAAAAAAGATTTTAAAAATCAAGGAGCTCAAGACTTCTGAAAAACAGAGCACTTAATATAGAAATCTTACAAGAGTGACTCTACCTCGCCACATCTTTCTAAACAGAAACAGGTCACTTGGCAGCTGCAGGTGACGGCAGGTTTGAGCTGCACAGAACTCTGTGCAGGATGCTGGTTAGGCAGGGCTGGCTCGGACCTGGAAGTGCTGGGCAGTAACCTTTCCTTAAAGATACATTTCAGGAGGCACGCCCTCTCTCCTCTCTTTCCCCTCCAGCTCCACGAGGAAGCTGTGCAACACCTCGCTGCCTCACGACAGCAGGAGCCCAGCCAGCCTGATCGGCCAGGAGGTAATTCTCGTCTTCTTCCTCCTGCTCCTGTTGGTCTGGTTCCTGAACCGAGAGTTCGAAGTCAGCTACCGCCTGCACTACCACGGGGACGTGGAGGCGGACCTGCACCGCACCAAGATCCAGAGCATGAGGGACCAGGCCGACTGGCTGCTGAGGAACATCATCCCCTACCACGTGGCCGAGCAGCTGAAGGTGTCCCAGACCTACTCCAAGAACCACGACAGCGGAGGCGTCATCTTCGCCAGCATCGTGAACTTCAGCGAGTTCTACGAGGAGAACTACGAGGGCGGCAAGGAGTGCTACCGGGTCCTCAACGAGCTGATTGGGGACTTCGACGAGCTCCTGAGCAAGCCGGACTACAGCAGCATCGAGAAGATCAAGACCATCGGGGCCACGTACATGGCCGCGTCTGGGCTGAACGCCACTCAGTGCCGCGACGGCAGCCACCCGCAGGAGCACCTGCAGATCCTCTTCGAGTTTGCCAAGGAGATGATGCGTGTGGTGGACGACTTCAACAACAACATGCTGTGGTTCAACTTCAAGCTCAGGGTGGGCTTCAACCATGGGCCCCTGACGGCGGGCGTCATCGGCACCACCAAGCTGCTCTACGACATCTGGGGGGACACGGTCAACATCGCCAGCAGGATGGATACCACGGGCGTGGAGTGCCGCATCCAGGTCAGCGAGGAGAGCTACCGCGTCCTGAGCAAGATGGGCTATGAGTTCGACTACCGAGGGACGGTGAACGTCAAGGGCAAAGGCCAGATGAAGACCTACCTATACCCCAAGTGCATGGACAGTGGGTTGGTGCCACAGCACCAGCTGTCCATCTCTCCCGACATCCGCGTCCAGGTGGATGGCAGTATCGGACGCTCCCCCACAGACGAGATAGCCAACCTGGTGCCTTCCGTTCAGAACCCGGACCAGGTGTCCCTGGGTTCCGAGAACAACGCCCAGACCAGGGACGCTCACCCGTCTGCTAAGAGACCCTGGAAGGAGCCCATCAGAGCCGAAGAAAGGTGTCGGTTCGGCAAAGCCATAGAGAAAAGCAACTGTGAAGAAGCCGGGATGGAGGAAGCCAACGAACTCACCAAGCTCAACGTCTCAAAGAGGGCGTGACGTGGCCCAGCCCACCCGCGGTGCTCTGTCCGTCCAGGCGCCACCGTTCCCGTCCCCGGACGTGGTGTCGTGTGGTTACTGCAGCCCTAACTTCTGTGTGGATCACAGTCGTTCAGGGTTCACTTTCATCTGCCTCCTTCCCCTTCCCCCACTCGGTGTGACCGTCAGAAGCGTGGAGAACAAGTGCCTTCAGGGGCTGGCGCGACCTGGAGTCCAGGGAAGCGCAGCCAGGGTGTGGCGCTGGGTGGTGGTGGACGTTAAAACAGAAGCTGTGGTTAAAATCAGATTTTTATTGCTTTTTCTCACGAGACACTTTTTTTTTTTTTGGCTAATATAATGTTTTTGAGGGTTTTTTTTTTTTCCTGTATACATACTAGTGTTTTTCCAGTGACCTGACTTTCTATGTAAACACATACACGCACACACACTTGTATTCATGAATATGAGATCAAGTGCCAGTGACTCACTGGGTGGGGTGCTGGGGGCGCAGGCTGAGGACTTCGAGGAGCCGGCAACCCCCTACCCGCAACTTCCAGGGTGATCGGGCCCTCGGGGGCTGTGGCTGCACCCACTGGCCCCCCACACCCAGCGGCTTTAGGGCTTCCTCCTCATGCAGGCCAAGATTCCAAATGCCAATCGGTCTCACAGCTTGTGAACCCAGGCCTCAGGTATCTAAAAGCCCTTTTCCATTCTTCCCCTGCCCTGAGGGGTCTTCCAGCCGGAGTGGAGGGGCTCATCTTTGAAGCTGACTCGTCCCAGAGGGAAACACAAAATAAACATCCGAGGGTTGCATTTATTTATTTATTTATTTATCAGGAACTGTGTGTGTCTCGGGGAGGGTTGCTGGGCTGTTCTCTCTAGTGAAGGGAACTAGGCTTGGAGCGGAGGGTAGGTCACAGCGGAAAGATGAAGATGGGGCCATTAGAGCTCCAGCCACCCAGGGCCATCTCCCCTGAGGAGCAGGACCCCAGTGGGCATGGCCCATGCTCTGGGTTGGGGCACCCTCGGCCACCACTTTGAACGCAAAAGCTCTGCTCCTACCCCTCGCCCATGGGGTCTGCCCATGGCAGGAGCTGGGTCAGAACAGCTCAGTGTGAAGCAGGTCTGGGCCGAGCACCAGGGCTGGCAGGTAACGCTTGGCCTCCACTTTCGGGAAGTTCCTCCATTCTTTCCATTCTCAGCCTGCACAGCGCTTGTCTGTGGAGGGATCGGGCCTGGTGAGTGGACCCCAGTCCTCTTTAGGTGGAGCTCAGTAGGGGCAGAATCGTCTGGATGTAAATGCAGTGTTGGAACCTGGGGGAGTACAGAAAATCCAAGTGAGTACAGAACTCACTTCTGTGCCCTTTGTTACGAATCCTGTTATCCCCCTTGTAATTGTTTTGCCACATTGAGTCTGAAGTTTATGTAGACTTGAACTCAGGCCAGAGTTGTCCTGTCACAGTCACATGACCCCTCCCTCTTAAGGTGGCTGCAGCCCATGCAGTAGGGGAGGGCTAGCTCCTCCTCTATGTGAGGCCTTCACCAATGTGCCCTGTGCGTTTTCTTGTCCCCAGCAAATCTCTGTGTAGCTTTTGCATCTGCACCAAGTCGCTTTATCACTCCTCCTTGCCAAACTCACACAGAATCTGCCCTCCCCGGCACCATGAAGTATTGACTTGGATCAGCCATCTCCCTAGTGACGTGCCTGGGATGGCCCCCAGCAGCGCAGTCATAAGCCAGGATCTCCACGTCCAGGGGGATTTGCCTTCAGGTTTTGCTGTCAGACTGTTGGTCTTCCAATGCCGGAGAAAGGATGACTGTGACAATACCTCTTGCTTCTAAAGAATGTATTCTTATAAAATACCACAGAATTTTTATTTTTTCTTAGAAACACTACCTGATGCTCTGCCTGTCCGTCAGGGTTCTGGGCACGTCGGGTTCCTTCCATCAGTATTAAGGTGGGTGTCATGTATGGCCCTCATCCTCTGTCCCCCCACCCATGGGCCCCAGGCTCTGCAGCTACCATGGTGGCCAGGGGCTGCTGGGCGGCTGCTGAGTTCTCTGCTCTTCTGCTCCACAAAGCTCATCTCTGCACATGCTTCCTCCCTTGAAAACTCTTTTTTTCCTTCCCCTCCTGCAAAGGTTGTTTGTGATTCCTAGGAAGCCAAGGGGCTGCAGATAACAGGGATAGTGTGGTGACCCCCGCCGGCCCGGTTGAGCATTGTGCAAATGGGAACCTTCAAAGGACGGTTTAAATTGTCTTTAAAAAACACCCCGAGCCTTCCTAAGCAACCAGTACAGGTATTCCCTCTGGGTGTTCCACTCGTGACTTGGGTCCCTCCCAGCCACTGCTCAGAAGCGTACCTCAGCGCAGAACCACGGAGTGCCCGCAGGGGCCGCACTGGGCCTCCGACACAGCCGGTTGCTGAAGACAGACAGACTTCTGAGCAGCAGTCTCAGGCACTACGGATTCAGTGGAGGCATCCTTCAGAGCGGTATACCTCCTGTGAACTTAGGGCAGGAAGCAATACTTCAGAATTGAATGTGTGTAAATATAGTTGCTTTGAGTTGCAATCGCTGTTTTCTTCTTGGCCTCAGGTCTGATCAAATTCTCCATGTACAAATCCATATAAATAAGCACACAGAATTGTATCCAAGGCAGACAAATGCAGAGCATCAGTTATGAAACCTTCACAGAGCCTGGAGGCTCCCCACAGCTCCGTGACCCTGACCGTGCTGTGGAGACGCCCGCACATTTGCACTTGACACAGAGCCAAAGGGCCGCGTGCTTCCCGTTATGTGGGCTGTCGTGATTTGTAGTTTCCAAAGGTCTGTCTGTGTTTGCATTTCTAGGTTTTCGAGGTAAGCACTTTTTGGTGGTGGTTTCGGAAAATCACGTCATGCCTAGAATCTGAAATTAAATTCGTGAGAACCAACTGTTTGAGTTCTCCATCTTTCCTTTGCTCTACCTTTTTAGATTGTTAATCCTGATAATTTCAAAATGCACCCCACTCCCCACCACCCCAAAGAAATGAACATTAAAATACTCTAAAATCTCAACATTTGCTGCCTGGTATTTCCTCACTGACAAGATTGGTACCACTTCTGAGATTACAGCAGTCCTCCTTGCCGGCCAACTGTGGCTGAAATAAGGTTTGCGGGTCTTTTACATTGTGACTTTGAAAACAAGGCAACTAAAAACCCTATTGTGTGTGTGTGTGTGTGTTAAATGACTGTATTTGCTATAGTTAACTTTGTTTGAGAAGTATTTATTTATTCATGGGACTTTTAACAAAAGCAGGTAACAGCACAAATTTTGTTTGAGACCATATCCTGATTTTATTAGGCCTCCTAAAGAGTTTCTCCCACAATATCTCAAGCAATTGACTGAGAAAATGAAGTCAGTTTTTTAAAAGGACGTGCCCACATAGCCTCTCCCTTACAGAGTTCTGGGAGGCCCGTGTCATGGGGAAGGTCATAGACCCAGTTCAGAATCTGTTTAAATTCAGAGTGTCTTTGCCAGAAAATACACATGCCATTTCACACATCACAGGGGCTCACAGCACCTCCATACCTGGAGCCAGATGCTGGCTCTGCTGGGGGTTAGCACCTTCCCCCATGGTTTTTCCTGGCGGTATTTAGGTGCAACTGCAAAGCAAGGACGCTCTTGTCGACTCAGGGAAGGGGGATGCGGACGTGGCCCAGGACTTGTTCATCAGCTTGGAGGCACCCAGCGTCTAGGTGATCCTGGAACTCGTGAGGACAGCACTTGTTGACAAGGGTGCTCTTTCCTCTGAGTCTGTACTGCAGGCATCTTCAGGAACTTTCCAGGAGGTGAGGAAACAGCAGTCTTTGTTGCGTTTCTCTCTTAGAAAGGACACCCCAGGGACTTTCTCTAACAGAGCTTTCTCTAACAGTCTCTCGAAAGGCAACCTCTAATTCTCGCAGCAAGCCCCAGGTCTTTCCATTTGTGGTTTCGCTTTCACTTTCCTTTTCATCTATTCTGTCCCTTTAAAAAAAAAAACAAAAAAAAAACTTTAGCTTGCATTTTAGAGACAGTTCTGAAATAAGTGCAAAGAATTGACCTTACCCAAGTTGAGGTCTGGCCTTTTCTCTGGTCTCTTGGGAAGTGATCTCTGAGCTCTTGGAATGTCCTGCCTAATACATGTCTCTGGGTAACTGGGGTCTTTAGGTCACACCAGCTTGTCCAGTGGTGTGGTTTAGTGTGGTTTTCACATGGACGTTATGCTGGGGCTGGAGACAACTTCTTTCAGCTGAAATCTCTCCGTGTGGCGGCTTTTCTCTGCTGTGGAAATCTGTCATGGTGGCCACCTTGGTTGGATCCCAAGTGCCAGGGAGAGGAAGTGGACTGGGGCAGCAGATAGCGAGAGGAAGTGATTAAGAAAAAGTACACACTTGCTCACCACATAGGCATAAACTCAAAATCTCCCCAAGTGTCTATTTTTATACTCTTCCTTTGTAAAAATTGTTTTTTAAATAACATGACTTCAAAGCATTGTTAACTTTACATCAGCGTAACCCAAGCATGGGGAATTCTCACATCCTTGCTGGGCCTGAAAGTCGGAAGGAGGAAGGAATTATGCAGTCAGACATTGAGCAATCTGAGCGCTTCCTGAAATCTCAGTCATCAACAGCAGCGATTCCTAACCTTTCAGCCGGGGGGGGGGGGGGGGGGGGGCTTACAGAGCCTTTGATAATTTGATGAAACCTGTGACTCCTTTCTCCAGGGGAAAAAAAAAGGCACATAAACTCACTTCATGTTCCTTGATCCAAACCAAAATACCCGTGATCTACAATAACAGGATGGATGGTGATTTTTAATTGCAAGCATCTGCGGGTGAAGTTTCCACACATTTCTGGACTCTCCATTGGAAATGTGAATAAACAGATGAATGCTGCTTGTTGATATATGCATTTCCAATCCAATTATATTTTAGACTTTAATGTCCAAGTTACCTAAGTACATCTGAAGAGGCACTCAAAGAACTTTTCAGTATAAAGATGAAGCTCGTCAGAGTCTTTCCAACAGATAACTAGCGTTCAGACAGTATGCGCTGAGCACCTACCGCATGCCAAAGCTCCCTCTGGCATGGTTGCGCCATGCCACTTGAGGCTGTTTGAGGGGCCCCTGGGGTCAGTCACTGCTTTTCCTGAGGGCTCTCCCACTAGGAACCCCACAAGGAAATTGAAAAGAATTCTGAGACCCCCTGTCCTTGCTGACATTTTTAAACAGTGGCTCTTTAGTGTCGTCTGTTACTGATGATTTTCGTGTTCATGGTCTCATGGAGTATTCAGTCTTTCCATGGAGAAAGGGCAACAGAAGAAGTACCATTCAGAAAAATCAGCTGCACCAGTATTGTGTTGGTGGTCCCTCTGTGAGGGAGGGGGCACTCCACATTGGTCGTATATTTTATTTTTAAAACAGTCCTCTCCGGATGGCGCCTGGGGTCTCAGAGCTGGGCAGGATGAGGCACTGGCCTGGACGGACCAGGCTGGGGGCAGCCTTTCAGGAGCCACACCGTCAGTGAAGCATGCCCCCGCTGCCTCCCCGGGAATTGCTGGGGGTCAGAGGACCACAGCCTCTGTCCATCCTACCTCCTTCCAAGGGGCCTGCAGCAGGCTGCAGCGTTCTCAGAGCTGCTCCTCCTCTGTCCTCCTCTGACCTCCTCCATCTACTCAGCAAGCAAAATTCTTGCCCTGTAGGTTGACAGGGCAAGAGGAGTGATCACAGAAAGCAGGAACCGTTTGGACTTGTCCATGTGATTCCAGGAAGGAAGCTGAAGGAGAGTGACGTGGCTGAGCACGCTGCGCTGGGCGTCCCCTGGGCACAGACACCCTGGCGCCCAAGGCTTCCATCTCCAGCCCTCCCTGCTTCGCAGCCTCCAGTCCCCAGCTCCAGCCTCAGTCTCACGGAGGCCACTCCTCTCCAGGACACTTGTGGCTCCCTCCTCTCTACCTGCGGCCCCTGCCCCCTGCCCACCATAACTTTGACCTCCCAAGTAGGTTTCAGTGCTATGCTGCCTCACTCCCAAACCTCAGGAGTACAGACAAACCTACGGCAACACTTTGGAGCAGATGCTTTATCAATTTAAAGAAAGTAACTCTTCAGCCACAAAATTAAGTTCTCACATATGCAAATGTGCCTCTGCACAGAAGGCAGCCTCTCGCTCTGTGACAGTTTTCTGCCAAGGAACTCAAAGCACCTGGAACCCCTTCTGTCTTCACCATACCTCACTTAAGGTGGAGGAGTTTTCTTCTGTCCAACAGGTTTGAAAGCTCAGGTTCAGAGTCTCTGAGTGGCTGGCCATCCTCAGCCAGTCATTACCAGTGACTTCCAGCTTCAAAGCCAGAGAGATCACCCTGTCAATCCAGACCATCTCGTGACTTGACAGCCCCTTCCTTTACAAGAAAGGAATAAAGAATCCAGGTGGTGGGGTGAGACACTGTGCATTTAAATGGTGAGATTAGGCAGTAGGTCAGCAAGTGACTAGCAAGGTAAATCCATTTCCCCTTCTCTCCCTCTCCCCTTCTTTTTGTAAGACTGGCTACTTGAATTATGTGTAGAATGTTTAAGGTATTATTGTCTAGTGTCTTCTTAGAATGGAGAAGTTTTCAACTTATTCAAGTGTCTGTGTGGACTTGTATCCATCTGCTAACTAAGACCATCAGGGAATGGAGGCAAAGTTTGCAACACGTGGGTGCCTTCAGAAAGGTCCGTGTGAAACACAGATTATATTAGTGTCATGCGTGTCCTGCTAACGTAACAGAACTAGATCACATCCCTTTAACACAAAATCCGGGTTTCTTTTTCCCCTAACTGTTGATTACACAATAAATTTATTATTATATGTAATGTTACATTGTTTTTGAAATGCCTTTATATATCTGTATGTACATCTCCAGCAGTATTTCAGGGAAGTATTAGAGGGAAAAGAAAAAAAACATTATTTAGCCATTTAACTTGAAATACTATAAAATAATTCACAATTTCCATGCCAAAACCAACTTTGTTGACTATTTACAAAGGACAGAGGAAACAGATAGTTTACCTTTTGGAAGCAAATCTTGGCAAAATGGTGAGTTGGTGGAACTTGTCTTCGGTAATTTTGATTTGCCGGAATCATGAGTCTTCTTCCTTAAGAGTAAAGACTTCTGGTGGCATCACAGACACACCTAGAGTGTTCACTTAGTGCAGAAGAGCATGGCTGAATGTTGTCCTTGGTCTCCTGTTTCTATTATTAATTGCATGTGAGTTGTGCTTTCCCAAAATTTCAGTCAAGGACTTCCAGAGATTCCTAAAGACCCTAATCTACCAAAATACCTAGAGAGCATTTGGATTCAGTTGGTTGTTTATTTTTTAATACTGAAGAATGTGACTTATGTGAGCCTTCGGAAATTGATTGAACTAAAACCTAAATCTAAGAAGATAAGGTAAAATTACTTGGAAGAAAAAAAGAGATTTGAAGCACTTATCCAGATACTTTAGGATAAAAACATCCTTTTGCAAAAAACATTTCAAATGCGACAAAATGAATTTATTGCATGAATCACATGGACAGTGATCTACATTCTTCAAGTCACTT